TTTACGTGCTGGGATATTTTTTTATATATGGCAAAAGTTAGGGCATTTTTTATTCTCCCTGTACACGTTACCAGGAGACAAACGCCTTGAGAAACACGCCGAGGCCCAACAGCTCACTACATCTAAAAAGTCTAGTTACCTCGACAGGGTCGTTAATCATGCTTACCACCTCGATAAATACGGAGCTCTAGCATTCAACCGCGATATTGTTGAGAAAGTGATTGGTCAACTACCGTTTGACGTGGATGATGAGTTGGACCAATTTACTCGTTCGCGCGCTTTATCCATGTATACATTGCTCAAAGACGCTCTAGGTGTATTTTGTCATCATTTTTTTTTTGTTGAAGATGGTCGTGGGATTTGTTTCTAAGGAAGCGTGATTCCTAAGTGCGTCCAGACTCATTGACAATACACGGTAAGTCTTACAGATCAATTACTTGTAAGGCTACTGTGAAGGCGTCTGAGTTACATAAATCCAAGTCGTCTGCGATTCAGTCTTCAAGCTATTATGAGTCTCTTCGGCACCGATTGGCGTACTCCATTGCGCTCGACACTGAGCACGAACCAGGACCGTCGCATATAGGTTCTTGAAATCACGTTTGCTCAAGTGATGCATTGCTGTCACGTAAAGTGTTCACGGAATTTCTCTTTCGTATCACAACAAATTGCCGGTGCGCTGGTTACCAAAGTGTGTAAGTCGCTTGATGCCGTCGATTTCTCCTTGAAAGAGGAATCGTGTCCATCGGAACAGGCGTGAAGCAAACCATGATTGGCCGACTTTTGGGCAAGCGAATTAGGTTCGAGCGGGCAGCGACGTTCTCGTTGGTGCTCATTTGGTGCGGTCTCCTTCAGCTGATCCTTGTCGCCCGGAGGAAGTACACTTTTCTTGCTGATGTTATATTCGTGACGATTCTGACTCATATTCTCAAAGGCAGCAAATTCTTACGGCCGAATGGAAGACGGCTTTTCCAGATTCGCAAGTAAATGCTAGCCGTCGATGCGATGGGCTCCTAAATGACTTCGTGTGCACGTGTTAGAATATTTCCAGGAGGAGTAACCAGATACATGCCTCCTGGCGGCTGGTTGACATATTATTGTGCCTGGTGCCGACGCGGCGGTTCAAGCTAAAACGTGCTCACGTTAACACGGGTTGAGCAAGCTGCCAAGTCAGCACCAAGCCGATTTGAACTGATGATTTGCGGCTTCCTTTCTGATATCTGTCTGGATAAAGGTATATTGTTGGAGAGAGATATTGCTGAAGCCGATTTGGCTGTTGCTCACGCCCGTCGTGAAGACTTTATGGTGGCCTATGCTGATTTCCATTTGCTACCGCAGCATCTTCATGATCGATTCGATAGAGGCTCTGGAAGCGTGCGACTGTTTAAGCAAAGTGATTTATATAGTCAGTCCGTTTGCTGGATTTTTAGCGGGTATCAAACAGGGCCTAGCCATTCGGGGAATATTGGATCTTGATCGTTTTACCGCTAATTTTGCTTTATTCTCTGGCCAAAATACGTATGGCTGCGCCAACCGCCAGTTGGCGCAGCGACTTCGAGGTGCCGGCCAAATACAGGTCCACTTCGACAAAACACCATGATCTTTTTTTCGCTTTCCGTGGGGAACCTGTGAAGAATTCCTTATAAAAATGTTCGGACGTGAACACTGGTTTTAACGACGGCTGCGCGCTGTGCCGAGACAGATTCGACTATTTAAGCCGGTTTGTAGGCGGTCTGGCTACCAAGTTCCCGAACACCGCAACCGTAAGGGTGAATTTATCGCTGATTAGATGCAAGAAAATACGAATAGCACAACTCGCAGATCAGCTACTTGTCAAAACTGAGCAGTTTGGCACATTTGCGCGCCTTGCTGAGCAAACAATAATACTATCAGACGTTTTTAACAGTACCACCGTGTCCCAACCGTAGTCCGACTGTCAGCTTAATGGTGGAAATAGTAAAAAATCCCACTCTGGTTGTGGCTATACTTTATGGTTGACGGTGCAAATTCTTTAGAAGTACAAAAGTCACTATGGGGTACCTAGCCAGTCCCAACATCTCTTCGTTATGTTTATGGCTTACAGACCATGTACGTACCTCTGTAGGAGAATTGGATTTCATTAACTTCCTATTATTCCAAAGCTAAATTTGTTTTCTAGTGTAAAATTAGTATGGTACGGTTCTTGTAGCATTTACACTTCCCAGATAACTTTGTCGTAGTGCGTAAGGTGGCTGAAGCCCAATAGTGGAAGCATAAAGTGATGTGCTTCAACGCTTGATTGGCTGAGACTCTAATGATCTGGGCCAGAGTGTTTTGATATAACTCTTTTAACTCTGAAAGGATCAATGCCTTGTTGTTGCACCTGTGTGACGATAAGTGTTGGTTTCGCCGAAGTTGCGGTTATAGGTCTTGAATTTCCACATCGACTGTACGTCGCAAGTAACGCGTGGTTTCGACCACGTGTGAAAGCAGTATGCTAGTTGATTGGTGATACCAAGCACTGGGGTGTTGGCGAATGCGCATTAACTTGATTTCTTGGGTTTGTACGTGAAGATGAAGCAGCTGGCTTTTGTGCGGATAGCCTGGAATTCTGATGTTAAACCTGATGTTAGTCATGGTAATGTTCAGTTGAAAAGCGTTAGTACAATGGGCGCGGAAGCCAACTTGCCACAGGGGCAGTACCTGAGCTTGATACTGAGTTGACCGATACCAATTTGAGATCGAAGTGTTGACGCTGAGATTGTTTGCGTCGTTAGTGCAGAATGTTAGTAAATCGAACCGGTGCAATGTGCGGGATTTGAGGCGTAATCCTTGGATTGTGTCTCGAATTTGCGTTATGTGTAGAAGTAGGAATGCGACCAAGAATCGTAGTTGGTGCATTTAATCTTGGTGTGTGCTGACTTGTGGGATGGTGCGGGTCCGGTGAGTGGCTTGTTAAAGTCGTTATTGGATCAACATGTCATCTTAATTAGCCGGACCTCACTTTATATAGCCGTGAATACGCGTTAAACTTGATATATTAAAATTTATTGTAGATTGAAGCCGTTCGCACTTGTGTGGATGGCATCAAGACCTAGGGCTCATATCTTGATCATCTAGCTTAGCGTTTGACTTGAAAAGTCTGAGTACACCGGGGCGTGGTAATCCGGATTGGCTGAGTGGACAGCTGTACTTGGGTTTGAAGGTTTAGTTCATAGCCGTCTTTATCGTGTCGAGACGTGGAGATGGTAAAGCGAAAAGCTTCGGTGATGGACGCCTGAGAACGTCTTGAGCGGGAAGTTTTAGCTTTACTACGAAATAGCTCGGAAATGTTACGTGCCATGATCAAAAGTTGACTAAGGCTCTCACCCCTAGTTAGCTCGTGTGTTTGGCACGTAGGATGTCAAGTTGTACACAACTTCTTGACTGCAGACTTGTGCTGCATGTATTGCCTTGCTCAACATGAGGGCTTTAACCGGTGCGGCCTATTAGGGTGAGTTGCTCGAAGCTGTAGCTAGCAGTGGAGAAAGTGGGCGCAAAGTTGAATTGTTGTACAATGCGGCGAACCTGAACCTCTGTTGGATGCCGGCCAGTAGAGCGGTCGGTGAATACGGGGGGTGCTGCGTCCCATCAATTCCCTTATCCATCTTGGATCCGAGCTTGCTCGTCCTTGTTCTGTTATAACCTCGACAGGCCTAGCCTGACCTCACTAGCAGCTGTACTGGATGTCCACCTAGAAAACCGGTGTGACGTGTTAGATTCCCCTAGCTGTTAAACTTGACGTTGACATCTCTGTTGACGGTATAACTTGTTGTGCAGATGTTGTAGAAGTAGTTGTAGTTGCATGTGCCGTGTTGAAGTTATCCATTGCTGCCATAATGGAGTGCTGAACAGCTGGAGCGGTTGTAGAAAATGTCACAAATTGATTAAGTTGCGCGTGACGACTATTTTCCAATCCTTGTACCAGTTGTATCCATGTAGGTTTGCCTTTTTATTTTGCACGTGATAAAAACTGCCAAAAGGGCAGCTTGATATATGCAAAGGTATGATGACGTACAAAGTCTTGGGAAAGCGATACATCAATGTTGTAGAGTTGTTTGAATCGATGAAGCCATGATGCGCGAAGTACACAACATCTCACAAACTAAAGATTGCATGAATTGCGTAAGCTCCATAGTGTTTTTTCGTAGTATGTTGAGGTCGAATAGAGTGGGGAGACAATCATAGCCCAGTCAAAAGTTCCAATAATGAACTTGTCAAAAGGTCGAAGAAAGACCTTCATTAATGTATTGCCACTCTGCAAGCCCAAAAAACATTCTGGGCATCTTCAACATTTGTGCATCCATGTACACATGTATTCCTTGATATAAACGCCGTTCTCCATCGAAACTTGTAATGAAATTCTAATGCATTGTGCTGAAGACGGAACTTAAGATCGGAGAACACTGGGGGTACATGACGATCCAATCGATACTCAGACCGCCATGTATCGTCCGCAAGCGTCAAGCCCGCAATCTGAAGCTTGTCAACTTGGAGCTTTGAAAGCAGAACCAGGTATTCAGGTGCGTAATCAACATCAGCTACTTAGTCGTCTGCAAAAGCTAGTAGCAAATGAGGGGATGACCATTGATAATATCCAATCCTCACATCGAAACTCGAGCACTTAATTAATTTATGACTGGCTCGAGAATAACACAAACAGTCCCGAAGATAGTGGGTCACCTTGTCGTACCCCGGCCCCCAATCAAAAGGGATCTCCTGGTGAACACCTCAACAGCAAACTAACACAAGTTTGGTTGTAGAATGCTTTGATACAGGCTCGACAGTTCGAACCAAATCCGAAGTGATGTAGTACCATGTCTAAATCTGGCCATAGTACACTGTCGAAGGCCTTGGCGAAATCGATAAGAACAGCACAACCGTCGAAGTAAGTGTGCTTGCATTATTCTTGTAAGTCTTGGAAGCGAACAAGAGCGTGACAGATAGATCTATTGGGTACAATCCCACTTTGATCTTCATGGTTCAGCAGCGTCAATAGACAGTAGTTCCCAGACTGCGATATATCTCCAGCCTTGTATAGCAGCGAAAGGTACACCTGTCGTTGAATCTTTTCCTTTGATAACTGGTTGTCGTGTATAACCTCGTATATGCGAGCCCACAGGCTTGACAAAATCTTGTAGTACTCAATCGGTAATCCGTCGGGGCCCGGCGCTTTTCCATTTGGAGGATTTCATGATCGCTTAGTATAAGTCGTTTGCCGTGATGGGCATCGAGCAGACGCTGTTGTGCTGGCGTAAGTTTTGCCACTGTTTGCCATAGCATTCGCACTAAGCGAAGTGGCTGATATGAAGTGTCCCGTAGATGACGAAGATCCAGCGAAGTCGATTGGAATAGTTGCCTTCAAAACCGGCGGTGTCCCGTTTCGATTTCTATAGGGTCGTCTCTCCTCGACCCATCGCCAAGTTGAATTTCGGTGATGGGAGACCTGAGACAGTCCTGTATTGGTGGCGAAAAAAAGCGCTTTGATGCTCGCTCACTAAGATGTAAGTCGACTGCAAATTTGCTCATTGCGTTTCTTTCTTGATATGCCTTCTTGTATGCACTCAGATCGGCTTGTGCTTCTCGTAGTGCTTGCTTGTTGCAGTCGATCGAAGCCAGATTGAAGTGGTCGATGGCATCCTTCACCGTGGCGACTCTTATGGCCATTTCTCGCGCATCAGCTTGTCGAAATTCAACCCATCGACTGCAAAGATAAAGCAATAGGAACGCTTGTGTTCATCCAGAAGACACCCTGGGTTAGCGCCATCAAAATTACGAATACGTGCCGTCAGTCGCTAAGCCGGCGAAGTGAGGTATGTGATGACATCTGAATCTCGTAGAAGCCATGTGTGGCATCGCCACGGCGCGCGCCTCATTGTTGGCATAAACTTCGCTTGTAGCCGAGACCCAACTGGTATGTTGTCGTTGTTATGCCACATTCGATCCCTTTTTTATGCTTGATTTCAACTATATGATTTTGTACTGGATCCACTGTTAAGAAACAGCAATCCAGTCGGTTGTGTGTTGTGCTTGTGTAGTCCTTTGTATCTTGATGCACAAAGCGCCATGCGTCGATCAAGCCCAACACGTCAAACCAATCCCCTAGTTTCTCTCTACCAATGCCCGGGTACAACTGGGAAGGTGAAGTTTGATCTAGAAAAGAGTCCATTGTGACGATGAAGTCACCCATGACAATGTGTGCCGCTTGGCCATCTTCATCCGAGTCGTTGAGAATGAAGTGAGTGTGAAGTGCACGGAAAAAATCGCCACGTCGTGGGGATTCATCAGGTGCATAAACAACATGTATATACACCGTCTGAGTACCAAGCGT